GCTGCAAATCATCTGGACTCACCAGGGGTTGCAGCTGCTGGTAGGGGAAGGGGGGAGGTCAGGGGCGGTGGCCCACATGCACAGATGAAAATAATATTGCCCCTTGATTTTCATTTAATATCCTTGCACTAGTGGGCTGGTGGCACGAGGCTGTCCGTGTAAGGGGACTCAACCACCTTCCTACCTGTGGCAAGAAATGAAGGAAAAGAGGGGGGGGGAAAGGGCACACTTTTTTTTTTTTTTTTTTTGAAGTCCAGGGTGTTGTAGAGGCCAGTCACTGAGCGCGCAGTGATCACCTGGAGCATGGTCCCACTTAAGATCCTGAATCTGGGCATGTTTTAGGCAGAGATGCAGAAAAGGAGTCCAATTATCTCGAGTTTCAGCACTTATCCACAAACGCGGCCAAATTAAGGCATTCAATCCAATCCTCTTTGCTAGTGGGACCTCGCCCCTGGAGCACACTCCACATTCCCCTTCATGCAGAAAAGTAGCAATCACCGTGTCTGGTCCTTGGCCTCTACAACAATGTGCGAGGGGGAGAAAAGACGGGTGTAACCACGTTCCTCTGTCAGAAGGTCCTCAGTACCACCAGTTGTGCAGTAGGGGCAGGCAACGATGAAGGGACCTGGTGCGGAAAATGGACCAGGTTCATGGTAGAGTAGCAGACAGTCTTGCCTCCAAGTGGGACCTTGCGCTTATCCACAAACCCGTATGCAGGCGGTTGCATGGAGGCGAAGTCAAGCTGCCTCCCCCCCCACCTCCACCACCCTCCCCACCTCCTTCTCTCTCCCTGTGTGTGACCAAATGTGCTTCCTGTGGGCACGTGGAGGATGGCTATATAGCCTAGGCCCCACTGCTGCTCTGTTCGCACCTTAGGAGTATGAATGGGGTTGTTGTTTTACAAAAAAAAAAAAAGAAAAAAAAAAAGCAGCATGAATGGGGGTGTAATTATGGTCAAGCTCATACATTCTTTAACTTCTTTTCTTTTTTCCTTTTTTTTTTTGAAAACCACTGGGCATGGACATAACACCACTGGGGCCTGGCTCTATGACGCAAGCCTGAGGAGTGCGAATAGGGCCACACCTTCTTTGCCCCCTTCTTCTTAACCAGTGGGGCACCTTTTTCACGCCTTGTGCTTCAATGCGCACCGAACTCAAATGCTTCACGTGAATACGAGGATACACATCCACCTCCCCATCCTCCAAGTGGGACCTTGAGGTTTTTTTTGGCCGGGGTAACTTCTTCAGTACAGTCACAAAAACAGTTTGAAATTACACTTCGGACATTCCCCCGAACATAACACCCCCCCACACAACCCTCCCCTGACCGGAAAGCTAGCTTGTATACATTGCCCGAAATGCAATTTGAATTTTGAAACTGTTTTTTTTTTGCCCAAAGTGTATTTTCCAACTCCGTTTGTGTCTCCCGCGTAGTTTCTCGTTTCTGTTTCTTTCCCCTCAAGTGATTCCATGCCTGAGATGCACACAGAGGTGCTGATGGGTACAAGGCCCACTCACATTACCTTCTTTTTTTTTTTTTTTTTTTTTTTTGTGTGTGTGTGTGTGTGTGTGAACATTATTTCACATTTCTCTCTGACCATCAGAACGTTGATTGCGTGGACAGGGCCGAGGTCCCACTAGCAAAGAGGATAGGATCAAGCTCATGAATCTGGATGCGTTTTACGCAGAGGTGCAGAAAAGCAGTTCAATCTCGATTTCCTGCACCTCTCCACAATTATGCTCAGATTCGTGCATTCGATCGGATCCTCTTTGCTAGTGGGACCACGCCCCCGGTAGAGTCTCTCTGTCCTCTAATCCACCCAGATTCAGGGGCTTGGATGCACTCAGGTGCTGCCCTGCATGAGGGTAGGCTAGGCAGTTGGAGGCTGAACATACCTCTTTTTTTTTTTTCTTTTTTTTTTTTTCTTTTTTTTATCTCATAATTTGGTGGTGCTGAAAATTCTGCTGAAATCTGATATAATGGTGCCTTCTCAGTGGAACTCTGACAAGGGAGGCTGGTGGGATGAGGGTCAGGGACGCTGGACCCCGTTTCCAGCAGGTGCAGCTCCCCACCAATAGATGGAGCCTCCCAGAGACTGCTACAGTCTTCCCCCCAATACAACGTACCGTCATTATAGCTGAATTTAGACCGAAAGTTACGCCAAATTCAGCTATAGCTGAATTTAGACCCAAAGATACGGCAAATTCAGCTATAATGACCGTACGTTGTATTCGGGGGAAGACTGTAGTGGTGCCTGCTCTTATCAGCACCCCTAGCATCAGCTCGGGTTGTTAAAAAAAAAAGAAAATAAAATAGATTATAGAGAATGAAACTTGGGAATCCAAATCATGTGTGGGACTCGGAGCTGAATTCAGAAATGATATCTTTGAATTACCGCAGTTGGGGCCCCAGTTGGGTCCATCTGGAGCATGGTCCCATTAGCAGTCGGATAGGAGTGCGGCAGATCCAGTGTGACACTGAGTGGCAGCGGCCTGAAAGGTTCATTACGAATTTCTGGGCTGAGGAAACAGGAGAAAGGCAAAAAAATAAAAAAAATAAAAAACAGAGACCTCCCACCGGAAATCACGGCAGAGTGGTTCCCAGCCATCAGATCACAAATGATCTGAGGGTCGTGGTTGCCACAACAGTGAACAAAGTAACTGCCACATTTTTCTGCAATAAACTCGACTTCTGTCAGCAGTCATCATGACGCCCTCCATATACTCCGTGATTGAAGGAGGGCTCCACCCAATGAGATAATTGCAAAACAGCAAGCAAAATACTGAAAATCTTCTATCCAGTGGGCCTATGGCTGACCCCACCCTCTTTCAGGGTTGGCCATACCCCCAATCGATTGAAAAGATTTTTGCGGGAAGCTTTCTTTGCACGGGCATGCCCAGCATTAAGGAGAGGAGGGGAACAAAGATCTCCTTACTTTTTCGGGTAATAAAACAAATGTAAAATACTGACTGTGGGATCACGAGTACTGCACGGCAGGATTTGGGTCACTAATATGCCACACAAACTCGTTTCTATCCTATCCCGCTGCTAGTGGGACCATGCTCCTGGGTAGAATTGTGAGGTTCCCAGGCTTGTTTGGAAAATCTTCTAACTATAATAAATTAAATAAAAGGTTTTTGAGTCTGGGCCGCCCCTCTCGGCCCCATCTCCGGCCCCTAAATAAACGAAGTAATTCTCTCAAGGGCCATCATCACCCACTACGGAAGGAAAATTTTCCATCTATCACTCGGTATGGCACAGCGCTGAGGAAGTAAGAAGAGCTGGTGTTGCAGAATTTACAGAATTTATATTCCTTCTGCTGTAATGTAAGCAACAAAAGACTGCAGTTATTACATCATTTTTTAATAAGGCATATGAGATGGGCAATCTGCCAGCAGCTGAGGGCGTACTCACACAGCGGTGGCAGTCTAGTAAAATCTGCTGAATTTTCTTTCCCATGTTTGCTGAAATAATACCCCGCCCGGTCACACATGGGTTGCAAMTCAGAAAGGACACGAGCGGSMCTCTCTGGCAAWYGCAAAATTGGTGCCTCTCATGGTCACAAAGCGCGGAAATTTTCTTTTAACAATTCCCAAAAGGCGAAAGAGAATTTGCGACGGCCAAAAGAGAATTTGCCACCACCTCTCGAGGTGGTCGCAAAATGCCCATCCCCGCGCCCCCCCAGGCCGCCGACAAATGCTACCCCGTTTGCAATTTTGGTGGTCGGAAAACCATAGTGTGACTCTAACAGCATACTAGCAGGTTTTGCGATTTAGCAAAAAAAACCGCTAGTGTGAGTATGCCCTGAGGCGGTATATCTGTTCTCACTGAAGGTCGAGCTTCGCAGACGAGGCTTACCAGATGATATCTTCGACAAGGCCCTCACGAACTTTAATGTTAAAATCGCGGGGCCTGGACGGAGTGGATCCACTGTTTCACCAAGTTGAACAGGGTCTGTTTTCAAGTATGGAAAGTTCAGGAATCTTAGAGGGTTGTCGGAATTTTTCCACTGTCTTGTTTTGTGTTAGCGTTGTTACGAGATTGGTAGGACTACATAGTCTCCAAGTTACTGGTTCCTAATCAGAGCGACCCCTGATGATGACCGGTACACTGGCGGACCGGTCGAAATACGTATAGAGTAATCGCGAGCTGGGCTTTCATGTTACAGCGCTTGCGCCTGTAATGGCGTTTGTGCCATGTTACTATCTCATCAGCTTTCATTGAAAATTTTGAGCCAGCGCGCTCAGGGGACTATGCAACTTACGTCTTCTATTTTCCTCCTCTTTCCGTCTACCCTCGTTCTTCTCCTCCTTCTCCATCATTCTTTTGTCGCCTACGCCGTACTGTGTTTATCACATGGCTTGATATGTTGCGTGAATTCAGCTTCACTGCGACATTCGCACAGCAAACCGGCGGGGGATGTTAACCCCGTTCGAGTGACCGCGTTGCCTACATCAACACTCATCAACACTCGTCAACGCTCATCAACTGTTACACTCATCATTCTTCCTTTTTTTTCTCTCTCTCACGCTCTCTTATCTCGCACACTGTCCATTTCATTTAGTCATCTGCTCTATTGCAGGTGTTGCAGTGTTCACTAGCTTAGCCACTGCTCCTCTGGGTACGGGGGACAAATCAGTTTCCGGGTGATTCCAGGATGGCTTAGAGGAATACTTGTCATTTTTGCCAGCTTCCAGGCCATTTCATTAGAGAGTGTCCTTTTTTATTTCAGCCCAATGGAGCGGAAATGGCGGCAAGAATTCGTGAAGGAGGAATGGGCGGCCAGAGCCGAAATGACTCGCATGGTATTCTACCGGCACCAGGGCAAGGGGCGAGCACTTCTAATGCGATCTTCCCATACCAAGGGCCACCAAATAGGAGTTATGGCGGGGGCTTCAACAACGGAGGCAGTTACAACAGGGGAGGTTACAATAACAATGGTCAGAAGTACTTTAGACCCTGGACGGGAGGGTACAGGGAACAGGACCGAGAAAGCGATCGGGATGTCAAACTGGATAGGACATAATCTGCTGGCAGAGCAGGTTGAAGAACAAGAGCAACGGAAACGGGAAAAAGTGAAGTTGGAACTGCTTGAGGATGAGAAGAAGAAATTACAAGCAAAGGAGGAGAAACAAGTTCAGGCGACCAGAGATTAAAAACAGCAGGAAGCTAGATTGGGTAGGATTGTGCGAATGAGTGTTAAGACGGTGTGTGAATCAGCCCTCGGGAGGAAGGTGGACATCCCGGAGGATGACGACAACGAGGTAGCAAAACTAAGGAAGGAGCTGGAGGAGCTGCACGCCAAGAGTCATGGTGAGTCTAGTGAATCCCGTTTGGAGGCCTTGTGGAAGGAGAAGGAGGCACTCCTGAAAAGGAATCAGGAAAGTGAGGAGGAGAAACTAAACATGGAGATTGCCGAGCTGAAGAGCAGGAAGGAGCAGGGCAGATCTACATGTGAAGGACAGGATGCAATCATAGCATTGCAACTGCAGATCAAGGAGCTGGGGGCTTTTAGGACAGCTCCTGAGGAAAGAAACGCGGAAGCCTCAGCACTGAAATCGGAGAACAGGCATCTGAAGAAATATATCTCCGAGCTACGCAAGGAATTTGTCAATATCAAGGGCAAGAGGATAGCAGAGGCGGTAACGAAAAGCAGCCCACCAGAGGAACCGGCAAAAGGCAAGCAACGGGCTGATCCTTCTACAATGGCGGTGTACATGCTAAGGATCTTGAGGCTATTCAGAAGGCGTACAAAGCTGCTCTCCAAAGCAATGAGATGGCGCTCAAGGAGGCAGAGATGTTGAAGGAACGTATGGCGCGTATGAGTGATCTTGGATTCGGCTATCGGTGCAGAAGACCATGGTAAGAAAAACAACACCACGCAACCTGAGAACAAGCTTTTAGGCAGTGGAGGTGCACGTTCTATTGTTGATGTAGCCCATGATCTGGAAGTTGCGAAGATGGCGGGTTTTCGGGAGGCAAGGTTGAAGGATCTCCAACAGGCAAAGAAGGCAGACATGGAAACGGCTTGTGCTGAAGAAGGTATCTCTTATATTAAGTTGGAACAAGCCAAAGCGGATGTTGCAGAGATTAGAGCAAGCCGCGATTATGCTGAATGGCTCAAGGAGAAGGAAAAAGGACAAGATGATCACCAGGATCAGCACTACGCGACAACAACCGAGGAAGTTGGGGAGGAACGAGGGGACTCCCTAAGTGTGTCATATCTATGGGAGTTGACCTTGCTATGTCGTGATTTCTATGTAGATTTACACTCCGACCAGTTTTATGATGTTTTAAATTCTCGATTGGTGGTGATACTGCTCATCTTCCAGGGAGGGATTAGATGGTGTGGTAAGTTTCGACATTCCCTACTTTCCTTACTACGGGGTAATTATGACTTTTTTTATCTTGTCCAGAACCAGTAGTCTACGCTCTAGTCTCACCATGGTTTCACCATGTATATATTGGATGTACCAAGAGATCTCTTAACACTAGATGGAAGGAGCATATGGTTGTTGTCTTACTATTAGTAACGGGAAGGACAAGGGTAATATGAAGCTTTACCGTTGGTTTCGAAGGGTTGGCATTAATTCATACGTTGCAATTCCAATTTGTGTCTCTTCTGAGAAGAACCTGCTTCAACTGCTTGGTCTGGAGAGATTCTTTATCAACTCTGTTAGCCCCTCGCTCAATTTTGTAGCAAGAAAAACGAGGGTTCGTAGATCTTGCCGATCGGGGAAAAAAGAAAGGTTGTGAAGGAAAAAGGGTTTTTCGGGTCCATCATATGTTTGCACTGATGCATCTGTTAAATACGAGCCAGACCCTCTTGTGTTTTCTTCCTCTTTAGATACGTGTTTAACCAGTTTTGTTTCTATTCTCCAACACGTTGTGGATTTAAAAGATAGATACTCCCTTCTCGATCACTGTCGTGTCTGGTTCTTCCTTTGTGGAAAAATAGAAGCTCATTCGTCGCTTATTCGGTTCATCCACTTTGTGTACTACAAACCCACCCATCTCCCTTCTAAAGCATTGTCGTTCCTAGTTTAAAGCCAGAACTTGCAGTTATTTTCACACTATCTCACAGTTCTGCTCACGTACCCTCCCGTTGAAAAGTGCTCTGGTCCGTCTCCTTGCTCTCCCATCTACAAGAAAGGAATTGAATGATTTCAATCTCGATAGCCTAATTAAGCTATACGGTGTTGTTAGGACTGTTAACTATAAGCGTTCCCGATATAACTTGAAGTTAATCCTTTCCAATATTTATCGTAAAATATTTTCCCTTTGTTTGTCCGCTAGATTGATTATCCGGTTTAAATATGATGATTCCTTATGCAAGGATAAGATTAAGGTCGTATGCAAGGAGATCAATGCGGGTCTGGAATTTCCACTGTCATATTTAGATATTGTCCGCTGTCGTTTTAGGTTGTTTTGGACAAAGAATCGTAGCATAGGGGATTTGGTATATAATTACTGTAGTTTTTCTGTTGTTTCGGAACCTATTTGCATATGCGATTCTATTGATAGGAAGTTCCCTCGAAAAAATAGTCATGTTTCTTTTCGATTTAGTCACATTAACTTTCTACCTTATTTTCTTAATAATTATAAGGATATTGTGTGCCCTAAGTATTCTTCCAACCTTCAACGACTTGTTGATCAGGTTAGCGCCTCGCTGATAAAATTTTTCAGTAAGAAGGTTAGTGTGAATTCTTCGCTCTTCACTAATTGTTTCCTTGGGAAAGAGACTTAGGTGGTGTATATTGCGGAGAATGAGGTTCGTGAATGTAAAAAGCAGCTTGATGGGCTTGTGCTTTGCCCTTTGGATTACAACGTAGGGGACACCTATGCATGTTGTCCGACGGTCTATGCAAAAGGTATGCAAAAACTATTTACGAATAATCCGGGGTTGCAGTTCGTAGCACGGAGTGAGGAGGCGGTATTGGATGATTGTAGGAAGGAATACTTGGTGGGAAAGTTTACTAGGCTAGCGCCATGGGCAGGCAAAGGAAAATAAGGTAGATCGTACGTAATTCCTAAGCACAAGGATGTTTATAAGTGGAGACCTATCTGTCCCTCCAGGTGTAAACCGTCTCAACGCGCCTCTAGGATTGTATCTTGTTGTGTGAACGAGTTTTTAAGGCACCTGTCGCGCTTTAGTCATTTTAATATAACCAGTATGCACGCATGTCTGTTTTTTTAGGGGCGATTAATAAAGGTATTCAGTGGGATGATAAGTTGCTAGCCAACAATTTTGACGTGAAGGAGATGTTTTGCCAATTTCCCCATTCTACAATCATGTCGGCGGTGGAATGGGTGGTGAGCATATGCGAGGAAAGAGGATTTTATAAATGTATGATACAGAACCGGAAGAAACGGGTCAGGTTAAGTTTAATGGCAGTTAGTGAGGTGGGTAATAAGTCTGTCAGTTTTTCTTTGTTGACCAGATACATTGCATATGATTTTTCCAACACTTTTACTATGGCTATGAGATCTGTTATTAAACATGAGCTGGGAATTTCTATGGGCAAACCTTCAAGTTCGGCTCTCACTTGCCTTATGTGTGTGCATAACGAGTTTACCTCTCTTCGTAGCCTTGGTAATTAGTGAAGGGTTGTCGACTTGTAGATGACGTTTCTGTTTTCATTTAATACAAGGGTAATAATGGTCCATCAAAAGCAAGAAAAACACAAATATTATATCGATTCAGCGACTCATGTTACAATAAGCATCTGGTATTGGAAAAGACCAATGATGGGCTGAACTAGCCTTATCTCGGATGCTGCATTGTGGTTGGTACCAAACCTATCAAAGTTTATTGCCAGGCCTTGCACAAAAATCAAGAATCCATTCTTAGCGGGGAAGGGCTGGTGTTTCAGAATTTACAAAATTTTCATTCCTTCTGCAGTAAGTAACAAAATATTGCAATTACATCATTTTTTCATAAGGCATATGATATGGGCAATCTGCCAGCAACTGAGGTCGAGCTTCGCAGGCGAGGCGTCCCAAATGATATCTCCGACAAGACCTTCATAAATTTTAATGTTAAAATAGCGGGGACCTGGACCAAGTGGGTCTATTGTTTCACCAACTGGGTCTGTTTTTTAGTATGAAAAGTTCACGAATCTTCGAGGGTTGTCGAAATTCTTCCACTGTCTTGTTTTGTGTTAGCACTGTTACGAGATTGGTAGGACTATATAGTCTCCAAGTTATTGATTCCTAATCAGAGCGACCCCTGATGATGACCGGTACACTGGCGGACCGGTCAAAATACTTATAGGGTAATCACTAGCTGGGCTTTCACGTTACGGCGTTTGCGCCTGTAATGGCATATGTGCCATGTTACTATCTCGTCGACTTTCATTGAAAATTTTGAGCCGACGCGCTCAGGGGACTACGCAACTTATGTCGTTTATTTTCCTCCTCTTTCCTCTACCCTCCTTCTCCATCATTCTTTTGTCGCCTACGCAGTACTGTGTTTATCACATGGCTTGATATGTTGCATGAATTCAACTTCACTTAGTAGAAAGAGTCCTTTGGTACGAGGCAAACTCGCCTCCATGAATAGATTTGAAAAAAAAAGGAAACTACATGAGAGTCATACAAATGAGTTATAATTGCACTACGGGCCAAGATACCATTGCGAATTGCAGTTTCGGGCAATGTATACAACCCATCTTTTTGGCCAGGTAATTGCAAACTGTATCTTGCCCCAAAAACAAAAAACTCGCCTCTATACATAGATTAAAAAAAACTCGCCTTTATGTGTGACACTCCAGAAGAATATGACGACCATGGTGTGTGATGGTGAACTGCGATAGGCATGTAATTGTTAACAAACAGACCATAAGTTCGAATCCTCAATTAGAATCAGAGCCACACAGTGAAGTTTGAGGGAGCATCTTCCCTTTTTTTTGGGGGGGGAGGAGGGGGAGGAAATAGGGGGCAGTTAAGGTTTTTAGTTGTAAATGCGTTTCAATCATGGTTTCTCGAATTTTACTCCAAAGCGAGGAAAATTGTGAATGTATCAAAATTAGCTTTAGGGTTGGGTGGGGATGTGTCGTATTCGAGGGATGACTGAAGTGGATTTGGAACTGCAAACGTGGCTGCACCGTAGTTACATTTTTATTTTTATTTTTTTTTAAACAACACTTTCTCCATTCTATATGTGGGGAGCTGAACATGTTGTGAATCGGGTCAAACGTCCCTCATAAATATGTTGAGGTCGGGGTCCTCACTCACAGTCTACCCGGGAAAAAACTGCGTACGGAGAGCATTCCCTGGCTTCGCTTCAATTAAAAATAAAAAAAAAAGGGCAATTGTGGTTGTGACACACTTTTAGTTTGAAATAATAGGCAAGAAAAGATAAAAGTGGCGCCGCCAGTGTCATGGTGTGAGTTGCGAAATATGCAAGTTTACCGAGGTCTTAAAACTGCACCAGTTATTACCCCAAGTGGTGCTTGGCAGATTTAGTGGGGGCCCTTTTTTTTTTCACCCTAATTTTTGGAACTGCTAAAGTTGCCTTTTCTGAACGTTGGCTGTGACTCCAACGTACTTGCCCTGAAAACATTTGAATGTTGAAAATGTCATGGGTTTTTGCATTGTAAAATGCAAGTATATCTACGTGGTCCATCGGGATCATAATTCTTATTGGCATAGGAAGGATATAACCCTTGTAAGTGTGTCTTACAAATCCATACTTATTAAGTCATTCTACAAGTTCCTTGATAGGTGACTCCAACGTACTTACCCCAAAAACATTTTTTGGATTTTTAACTAAGTGTTGAGAAAACTGACTGGATAGTAGAACGTAGATGTACTTGGTCTCTGCAGACACTGTTTCAGACCCTCTCGATGAAAAAGTTGTCTGATAAATCCGATGCTCAGCTAGGTCCGATGTGGGTATGATGCCAGAGTAAGTCTGAGTAAAGAAGTTTGTTCCTTTCGGGTAAATCTGCCCATTTGAAGGGGGCATCTCGCGCACCACCCCAGGGAAAAAACCGCAGGTGCACGCGCACCAGCGCATGCGCACGAGAAATGTGCGCATGGCGCATGGCGGATGTAGGTGCGCGATGCGCGGGCACCTTCCGCGTGTGCGTGGCGCACTGCGCATGTGGAGCGCATAGATGAGCCACAAGTATGGAGCAAACCATTTCCTTTACTTTTTTTTTTTTTTTTTTTTTTTTTTTTTTAAACAACCCGGGTTGATGCTAGAGGAGTTGATAGGAGCAGACCCCTCTAGTACTTCCCTTAGGAGGCTCCATCTATTGGTGGGGAGCTTCACCTGCTGGAAACCGGGTCCGAGGTCCCTTTACATTGAGCTTGTTTTTGGATAAGCCTGTATCAATATATGGTGATAGTCTGCTTAGGGTTACCTCTTCCACCCACTGGAGGGCACCTGATCAACCCTGGAAACCTAGTGCCCTTTAAGCAGAATACTATAATGCTTTTTCATTACTCTGCCCAAACCATTTCATTTCTACAATTGTTAAAACATATGAAAAAATTCCCTCGGACTCTTCATCGGAATGTCAGGATTGACTTGAAGTCAGCTGTGAAACTTGAGTTTGCAGTCCTTAGAGACTTCATGGCCTCCCTTTTCGTTCTCTCTTTCCCCAGGACAAACGATGTGTGTGTGATGACCCGTCCAAACATGGGCTGAAACACACAACTGATTTCTGAGTTTTGCCCATAGACTGAATGCCCTACCGAGTTTCCCACTTGCTACTAAGTCTGGCGTGCACGCTTGCCGGACTACATGCCTGTCTGAGTGCTGGTTGGCTTGAGTGTGTGTGTGGCCGTACCATGCAGTTTGATTGGTCTGACATGACAAAGACGTACGCAAATCTGCTGTGATAGTTTGATTGACCTGGCATGAAAGAGACTGCTGAAACGTTTGTGGCTGGGTGTCAAGTCTGTCAACGAATCAAACCATGCAGACAAAAGCCCATGGGGCTACTCGCACCCCTTCCCATTCCCGATGGTCCTAGGGAGTCCGTCTCCGTTGATTTCACCGACATGGGAAAGGTAAGTAAGAACGGCTACTCACAAGTCATGGTGATTGTTGACCGATTCTCTAAGTTTCTCAATCTGATCCTTTTGTCGCCGCACACCCCAACGGAATTAGTTTTGTGAGTTCCAACAAAAGTACATTCTGCAGTTCGGGACCCCGAAGACTCTCGTAAGCGATCGGAACCCGCACTTCATTAGTACAATGGAAGGACTTCACGTCTCATCTGGGGATCAGGCTGTGTATGACATCTGGCCGACACCCTAAAGCCAAAGGTTTGGCTGAAGAAATCAACCAGACTGTGTTCCACCTTCTCCGCGCTTTGATTATCCCGGATCAGGAAACATGGGATGGAAAGCTGTATTCTGTTAGGGGGGTGTACAACAACTCCATCCATCCTGCCACCAGCATGGCACCTAACAGGCTGCATCTCGGTTGGAAGATCCGTAATCCGCTCTCCTACCTATTCCTTGACCATCCAGCTGGCTTAACACCCGGCAGGCCTGGCTTCAGGGCCAAGTATGATCGCTTGCTCAAGGTTGTCATTGCATCCATGACCAAGTGACAACATGCTATGATCCATCACGCGAACAAGGGGCGCCGACCGTCGGACATTCAGGTAGGAAGCTATGTCTGGGTCAAGATGTCTGAATTCTCAAAAGAAAAAGGGGTCTCTCGCAAACTTCT